CAGGAGACAAAAAGACCAACCCAAGAGCCTGGAACCTCTGAGGGGTTTTGGGGAAGTGTGGTCCACGCTCGGGACAAGGGTTCCCGAAATGAAGCTGGTCTGAGAGCAGGCACCTCCCTGACATGAGTGTCTGATGCTCAGAGGTGACACTGACACTGACACTGACAGCTGTCCCCCAGACAAGGCGGTGTATCTGTCATGGCTGCTGTTCAGCTTGCGGCACTGGAGGGCCCAGCCAGTCAGGCTGTGAAAGGAAACAGCTTAAGAGCCTGGAGGAGAAATAAAGCTGGGAAGTGGCATTTGTGTGCATGAAAATCCAAAGTGACCTATGAATGTGTTCTGTGGTGGAGGTCCAGGGTAAAGGCTAATATACAAAAGTCAGTCGTGCATGTGTGTATGTGTATCTCCCAACCCAAAAAACGAAATGGAAACAGTACCATTTACAACTGCATCCCACAGCATCAAACACCAGACGTAAATCTAATGAAAGATTCGCAAGAAATACTGAAAACTGCACAGACTTAGAGAAAGAACATCTAAACAAACAGTAAAGCATTCGCAGACTGGAAGACTCAACATTATACAGATGTTTGCTCTCCCCAAACTGATCTGTAGTTTCACTGCAAATGCCAATCAAAATCCCAGAAAGTTTTGGAGTGGAAATTGGCAAGTCTAAAATCTGTATGGGAACACAAAGGTCAAAATATAGCTATGTGGATCTTAAAGACCCACAAACCTGTGTATCAAGACTTGTCCTTAAACTACAGTAGTTTAGACAATGTGATGTGTTGGCTCAGGGGAGGACAAAGGGACAGTGGAGGAGGTGACATCCAGGGGACACACTGGCATACACGCAGATGCTGCAGGGCAGTCGGGGAAAGATGGTCTTTGCAATAATGGTATTGTATTGAGTACAGACAAATAACTTAATCATGACGGTCTGCCTCACACAAGACATAAAAATCAACCCCAGGTGGACTGTTGAAGGTAAACTTTAAAAGCTTTTAAAAGAAAATTCAGAAGAGAATGTCTTGATGACCTCGGGATACACAAAGACTTCTTGAGCAGAACCAAAAAAGGCACTAATTATAAAGGGGAAAAAATTAACTTGGACTATATGAAAAGGCATGCCACAGACCTGGGAAGATATTTACAATGATATATATCTGTTCAAAGGACTTATATCCAGAATATACAAAGAACTACTAAAAATCAGACACAATTGAATAGAAAAATGAACAAAAGACCTGAACAAGCATTTCACAAAGGAGATTGTCCAAACAGCCAATAAACATAACAAAAGGTGTTCAACTTCATTAGTCATCAGGGAAATGCAGATTAAAACCACAGTGTGATACCTACCCACCCACATGTGTGCCTGAAATATAAAAAGTCAGATAACATCGAGTATTGGGAGGAAGTGGAGCACCCGGAACTCTGATGCTGCAGCTGGTGTGTCCGCTGCTCCAACCACTTTGGAAACTCAAGTGTCCGGGAAGGCCAAGCATCTCATCCCCAGCAGTTCCACTCCCACACGTGTACCCAGCAGAAGTACGAAATCCGTGCCCCAGAACACACGAACAGGGAGGTCCTGAAGTCACTACTCCTAACAAACAAAACCTGTAAATGACCAAAATGTCCCTGGATGAGAGGTCAATCACCGTGGTTGCTCATGCGGAAGAGAACCAGGCAGTAATGGAAATAAAGGAGCAAGTACAGCAGACAATGAGGTCGACCCCTCTGCTGCTTGGCTGGAGAGCCGGACACAAAAGGTCCTCCCTGTGTGATGGCATCTGAAGTCCAGGAAGAGGCACACTTACTTGCTGGTATTTGAACCCAGGACAGTTTTGAAGGAGGGAGGCACTGGGAAGGAAGGGGGAACCGAGGCGCTGGCACCTTTCTTACTATATGAGAATTCACTGAGCCGCGCACACTGACCACTCCTGCGTCTTTCTGTGCTAAAAAAAAAATTACTAAGGTGTCACTTTTTTCATCATAAAGCCAAAATGGGTCTAAATGTATAAGGAAGAAATAATGCCAACATTACACAGAAAAGAGGGGAGCGAGCACTTCCCAGTTCATTTTTCACGAGGGCAGCAAAGCCCTGATATGAAGACAAGGATGTTCCAAGAAAATGAAACGATAGAGCAGTATCCCTCTAACGAACACAGATGCAGAAATCTTTAACTAAAAATGAGCAAGCTGAACTCGATGTACGAAAAGGACATCGTGACCGAGTGGGCCTCATCCCGGCAATGCAAGGTTGACTTAAGATGCAGTTGGTGTCCTTCACATGAACAGACTTGAGAAGGAAAACCAAAAGACCATTTCAGGGGGAAGAAAAAGCACTGGACAAAATCCAACACCCATCCATAATGATTAAAAAAGAAAAGTCAGCAAACTAGAAATAAGAGGACACCTCGATCTGATAAACATCTCTAAGAAAAACTCACAGTTAACATCTTCGCGATGAAATACCAACGGTGTCCCCTCTAAGATCCCGAGCAAGATGAGGGTGCCCATTCTCACCACTTCTAATCAGCATTGTACTGGGTGTGGCCAGTGATACCCAGACTGGGAGGAAGGAGAGAGACTGCCCTGATTCACAGACGATAAGATTGTGTATAAAATCCCGAGGAAACTACAGAGAAGTTAAAAGAGCTAATAAGGGAGTAATTCAGCAATATCACAGTTTACACAGTCAGTGTAAGGCAATGGGTTATATCTCTATGCACACAGAACAGTTGGAAAATAAAACAAGAAAAACCTATACCACATGTAATAAGGCTCAGAACATAAAATCCCTAAGGATAAATTGAAAGACGCACTAGACCTCTGCACTAGAAACACACAACACTGAGAGAAATTAACTTCGGAGAGAGACATGTCCTAGACGTTTCTCTACAAACTGATCTTTAAATTCAGTGTGATCCCAACCAAAATCCCAGGCTTTTTGTGGCAATTGACAAGCCAAATGTAAAATGACCACAGAAATGCAAAAGATCCTCCCAGTACAAACCCTGCTAAGTCCCTGAATCCGCAGCAGAGCAGAGGCTGGGACTCGTTAGTAACCCACAAGTGGGGGACACTTCCCGCCCAAATCCAGGATCCATATAGGAAAGTGAGTTGTTGCCCAACATGTGGACGGCAAAAGAGCACCAGGAACAGAGTGGCACACCCGGGACTACTCTCGCCACAGATCTCAAAGCTCAAGTGCCTCCTGGAAAAGAGCTTTGAAAAAACTGAGGAACCCCTGCGAGCCTACATGTTTAAGAGGAGCAAACAGTTTACAGCAAAGAAAATGCACCTGGCCCTAAGATACCAAAAATATTCTCAACTTTGGTCATAAATGTAACTGGAAGGCAGCTATGCTCACCACTGTACCACCAATGCCTTCTCATAAATGTAAATGAAAACTACCCTGAAGTCCTTTTTCCCCATCAGACGGACCACACACACCTTAGGCAATGCTCTGGGGAGGGGGAGGGCCCCATGAGGGCGGGAATGCCACAGGGAAACCCAGAAATGACGGGGAATCTCACACTATCATGCGTGTGGTCACCCTTGCCTCACAGTCCCACTCTGAGGCTTGGAGCTCAAAGATCTCTGGCAAAATACAAAAAGACGTTTGCAAAAGGCTCCACGGGGAGGTAGCAGGGGACCGCCCCCATCACCATAGTGATGACTGGTGTGTGACACGCCCACCCCTCAACGCTGCCTGGAGGAGGAGTTGCAAGACGCTCAAGAAGCCTCAGTGCGGCGGCGCTGTGCTGGCGGGAAAGGGGAGGGTGACTGTACACAGTTGAATTATTAAAGGAAAAAAAGAGTCCTGAAAAAAAAAAAATCAAGTGTTCGTCCAAGAGAATGGGGGCAACAGGGTCGAGGGCACGGAAAAAAAGCTAGGCTTCCCGAAGATATCTTGTTTTATGGATTGACTTTGTAATTATAAATTATAAAAATCAGAGAATACAATGCGTAAAACTTGAAAGTGAAAAAAGATCACACTCATTAGGATGGCTATTATTAAAAAAGAAAGAAAAAAGACAGAAAACAGCTAATGTCGTGGAGGATGTCCAGACGCTGGATGACGCCTTACGGAAATTCCTTTTAAAAAATAAGCAGGATTATCATATAATCCAGCATTTCCACTTATGGATATATATATACCCCAAAAGAAGTAAATGCAGGGACTCATATTTCTACACCCATGTTCACTGCAGCATTATTCCGAAAAGTGGAAACAACCCAAATGCCCATCTATGGATGAATCCATAAGCAAAATGTTATAATGACCAGACAAACTAAATGTTTACACCAATGAAAAGTATCTAGAGTATGAGACTATCTTTATGACTTCCAGGCAAGAATGGATTTTCTTAGGACACAACGCACAATTCTTAAATGTGATAAAACTGATACAAAGCCCATAAAGTTAACCCCAAAATGACTAAAGAACACGTAGAAATCAACAAGAAAACTATTTCATAAAGGCCAGAGCAAAACCCCATGTACCTGTGCACCAGAGATACACCCAGAGCAAGTTCACCACGAAAAAGGTAAATAATGAAAGCAGAGCACCGTCTGCATCAAAGTGAAACTAGGTCCATCTCCCTTAAGCGGTACACTTCACCGAAAGACAACGATGCCCGCGAAGACCGAGGCGGTGAGCGCGCACGACGACGGGAGGGCGCCGGCGGCCCGGCACCGGGGAACGACGAGAGGCGCCACGAGACCCAGAACCACCATGCGGACTTTCGCGGGGACCCGCCGGCCAGCGCCGCGGGCTCGGCTCGCCTCATCAGCGGGAGACCAGGCTTAGTAGCGATTCGGCCCCCTTCCGAGTGGGTGGCGGGGCTACGGGAGCCGAGGGTTCGGCAGCCTCTAGAGACCAAGGTCCGCTGGACGGGGGGCGTCGCCCACTGGGCCCGAGACACACCACACCCCCGCCCCGGCGTCTCGAGTCTCTCTCGCAGCCGCCCCTCCTCTCTTTCCCTCCGGCGTCTCCCACCTACCACCCCCGCGTCTCCCCGCCTCCACCAGCCCGACCTCTCCCCCGACCACCTCTTCTTCCCCTTCTCCCCTCTCCCCACAAATCTCCCCACGCCTGCGCCCAAAAAAACACGCGGGAGACTGGGTGCAGGCGGCCGCGGCCGGCGTGATGTGCTAGGCAGGCAGCAGTCCGCGCGGGCGCAGCTCCAGCAGCGGGGCCAGCGTGTAGCGCAGGCGGCGCAGGGCGGCGTCCGAGCCGGGGCGCGCGAGCCCGCGGCGGAGGGCGGACGGGTTCACCAGCGCCAGGTAGAGGAGCGGCAGTACCAGGACGCCCAGCGGGAGCAGCAGCAGCGTCTGCAGCGCGCCGAGCGCCCACAGCCTGCGGACCGAAGACGCACCGGCAGACGGGGCGTGACGGGGCACGGGACGCGCCCCAGACCCCAGGCCCACGCCCCGTGCCCGCCGCTGGCTCACCTGATGCCTGTCGCTCCCGCGCCGCCGAACAGCCGGTTCTCCTGCGGGGAAAGGGAGCGGCGTCCAACCCAGCGCGGAGGCTGGGGCATGACGCCGTTGGATCGGGGCCCGTGAAGGGGCGGGTTTCATCGGTGCGTGGCTCAGCGCGGCGTGGTACTATGGGGGCGTGGCCCGCGTGGTGGGTGGTCCCACGGGGCAGATCCCGGTGCCAGCCCGCCCCCGCCTAGGCCCGCGCTCACGCAGTCCGCCTTGGCCACCTCCTCCATAAGCGACCCCGCGCAGTCTTGCCCCCGGCGAGGCTGTGAGTCGCACCTGCACGGACAGACATCCGAATGGGCTCTCTGTCCGGCCCCCACATTCACCCCACCACACCCGGCAGTCCTAACCCCCTTACGGCTCCGGGCCTCCCCGTGAGGCGTCCAGCGCAGCCGCCGCCTCCATCACCTTCCCCTGCAGCTCCTGGAAGAGGGGGAGTGAGGCCTCACACCGAGGAAGACCTCTCGGTGGGGCCGGGGCGGGCTGCCTCAGCTCCGGGGAGGAAATGGGTGGAGGCCCCAGTGGGGTCGGAGGTGAGCGGCTCTCCGAGCGGACGAGGGGCGGCACCTGCAGGACTCCGCTCTGCTCCTGGAAGCTGGCCCAGGCCTCCTCCATTCGCCGTGCGCTCTGATGCGGGGAGCCCTGATTAGACTCATCCCTCTCCACCCTCCTGCACCTGCCCAGACCCGGCCTCGGCTCCGCCCGCACCTGCCGCAGGGCCTCCGCCTGCATGACGTGCTTGGCCTCCACCAGCTCCAGTTGTTTCTTCCGGAGTATCCAGTGATGTCAGGAGCCCGGCACTCACTGCACCCACCGCGCCCCAACCCGCCCCGAGCCCTCAGGACCCCGCCCCGGCGCCGCGTAAAGGTGTTCATGGCCCCGCCCACGCCCCGCCCGCATGCCCAGGCCCCGCCCCCAGTCTGTCAAAGCCCTGCCCACGCCACCGCTCCGGCCCTCGGGGCCCCGCCCAAGCACCTGCAACGCCACCATTTGGGTCCCGAGCTGCTGTTCTGCGCGCTGCTGACTCAGCTGTTCTCCTCCGTAGTAGAAGAGCTGGGGGGTGGGGCTTGTGAGGGCGGGGCCTTGGCTGGGGGGAGGGACCTATCCTGGGAGGTGGAGGTGGGAAAGGGGCGGGGCTTCCCAGGGGCAGCAAGAGATTGTACCTGACTTGACAGCTCCTCCCACTGCTCCTGCAGCTGCAGGTTTTGTTGCTCCTGCGGGCAGGATCGAGGGGGCGGTCCGGCCCTCTCCGAGGTCCCCGCCCCCGCGGCAGGCCCCGCCCAATCCAAGGCCCGCCCTCTCACCAGGCCACACCCCTCGTGGCCCGCCCACTCGGCAAGCCCCTGCCCTGCGAGAGGCCCCTCCCGTTTTACAGGCCCCGCCCCGCCACAGCCAGGGCCCCGCCCCCACCAGGTCCCGCTTGCGCTGCTCCGCCGCCTCCAGCCGACCGCGAGCCCGCTCCGCGCGCTCCCGCGCCGCTTCCCGCGCCTCCCCGCGCAGGGCCCGCGCCGCCTGGCTCCGCCGCCGCTGCAGGCTGCAGAGGGAAAACTGAGGCTCCCGCGGCCCTGGAATTGGGTGGAGCCGAGAAGCCCCCTGGGGCCACGCCCTGACACCGCCCGCTCCCTCCCGGTGCCCTGAGCCGGCGGAGCAGCCGTGCACCTGCGCTCGCGCTCGCTCAGGTCCTGCAGGCGCGCGGTGAGGCTCTCGCTCTCCGCCTCGAGCCCGCGCACCAGCTCCTCCAGCTCCTGCTTCCTCAGGCGCCCGTCGCGGTTGTCCTTCTGCAGCTGCAGTAGCAGCTCCTGCGCCTCGGCCATGGCCCGTCTCTGCCAGCACCGCCGCCCGGGCCCCCGGCCCCCCGGCCGCGTCACAAAGGGCGCACACGGGCCGGCGGAACGCGGGGCCACTTCAGAACCGCCGCACAAGTGCCACGGCCGGACCACGCAGGGCTAGTGGGTACTTACTCCTGAAGCAGGAAGGTGAGGCGGGCTTGTTCCCCGGCGCTGAGGGGGCACTGCCAACTGATCGTCTCTCTTGTGGAAAGGAGATCAGAATCTGTAACATATTCACGTCTTTTGACTTCTGGGCACTTATTCCTGGAAGAAAATTTTAAAAACCACAGTGCATTAAGTGGTTCATTGAAGTGGTTAGTTACAGTCATCACCAAAAGGAAACAACAGTAATTATTTAAATACGGTATTCTAGTATTATGTGGCATGCAAAGACATGCTGATGTCTAGTGAAAAAAAGAATATGATTTAGCATTTATGCTAAAATAACTAAGATTGTAAAGTACATGGGCAAGATCTTTAAAGGAAACAAGAGAAAGACAAGCTATTTCATTGTTTGGTGAAATTGTAGGTAAACTTGTCCTTTTAAAAATCTACCTATCTTTGGCCGATTTCAATTATAAAGCTGGATGCAAAAATCCTAAATAATTAGCTAACCAAATCCAAAGGGGTATTAAAAAAAAAAGGTACATGGAAACCAGGCAGTTTCTTCCGAGACTGTTCAAACTCAGAAACTCGATGTCATTCACCACATGGACAAAAGAGACAGGACACCATCATTTCAGTTGTGCATTTCAACAGATGTGGAACACGTGGCTGAGCTCCACATCTGTGGATAGTTCAAAGAGGGAGAGTAAGGCACTCAAACCTGGTGAAGGCTACCTGGTAAAGATGTACAGCAAGCATTACAGCAAGGAGGAAGTATAGCAGCCTTCCCTTTAAGGTTTTTTTTTTTAATCTAAATTTTTTTCCTTAACTGTTTTTGGGGGGGTGTAATTAGGTTTGTTTGTTTGTTTGTTTGTTTATTAATGTAGGTACTGGGGATTGAACCCAGGACCTTCTGCATGCTAAGCACATGGTCTACCACTGAACTATACCCTCTCCCCTCCTTTAAGGTTTTAAGAAAAGAGAATGACCCTCTGGCTAAAGGCTAACAGTGCTGGTGGACCTACAATGAAGCAGGAAGCAGAAATAGGAAAATCTGAAGAGTATGCAGATACAGTTGGTCTCCTACCCTAAAGCTACCTGCTCCTTTTCCTTCTTGCCAGAACAAGCCCCTTAGTGTTCTCCTTCCCAAAGGCTTGCTCTTGTCAGGTGCCAGGCCTGGCCTATCCTAGCCCCAGGTGTAAAGCAGGGCTTGGTCTAAAGCCACTATGGTGTTTGTCTTGCTGCCTCGTAGGATTCTGCCTGTGAAAGTCAGGAGAGGAAGTCCACTGGGTGGGAGTTTCTGGGAGGTCTGCCTCAATATAAAAAGATGGGGGGAGGGGATATTAGCTTTATTGCCTACCTGATTTGTCTGCATGTGATGGCTGCAACTGCTGCAGCCACCTTGTAAACACGAGGGTCCTAAAAGAGGAAGTCAAATAGCACACTCGCAGGTCTCTCATTTAAGGAGGGAAACTCCCATAGATTTTTCCCTCACCTCTCATGAGCCAGAACTAGGGCACACACTCATTCCTAAAGCAAATAGGAATGCAACCAAGACAAAGGTGGGTGTTGAGATTGGAAGAAACTGGGGTACCACTGTGCTGCCAGGCCAGCTGCCACCCTACCCACAGTCCTGGCTGCTGTTCCTGGTGCTCAGCCTGGGATGGTGGAGGCCTGGCCCGGGCAGGTAGGAGGAGGGGCAAATGTAAGTGCAAAGCTCCCCACAGTTCTGTGCCTTGAGGCTGGGCTCCAGCCTCTGTGCCTCAATTTCTTCACCTGTAAAGTGGGATTATTACCAGACTCTCCCTCGTAGGGCTGAGGCGGCCCATGGTTCGCATGGCTAGGGCACTGAGCACTGAGCCCGGCACCACCGCTGACTCCAGTGCTGGGCACTCCCTCTTCACTGCTGGATGTCCAGCCCTGGACCGTGGCACTGAGCATCTGAGTCCCGAGTCCAGACTGAGATGTGGCCCCACAAAGAACCATCTCATTGATAATTTTTGTATCAATTACATATTGAAGTATTTTGAATATACTGGGCTGGATGAAACATTCAAATCCGTTTCACTCATTTCCTTTTACATTTTCCTGTGGCTCCTAGAGAGAGTATTTGCTGACAACTCTAGTGGAGGCACTTTGATCAGTCATGTTGGGCAGCCCTGTGCCCTTGGAGTCCCCCACAGCCACTTTCCACTGCCTTGTCATGTCCCCACGACCCCCACCACTCATGCTGGGTAGGTATCATGATCCCATTTTATGGTTAGGGAAACTGAGGCTCAGCGATGACAGCTAGCCAGGCAGGGGCAGCCTCCACCCTGTCTGAGTTGGAGGGAGAAGCTGGGCAACCCCTCTGGGGTTACTGCAGCTGTGGAGGATGAGCTGAGGGGCCCTTTGACCCCTCCCCACCCACTTGGTCCCCTAATGAAGCCTGGGGGCCAGGCCGGGTGTGGGCAACAGGAACCATGGAAACAGACCCCCTGGCTGCAGTGCCTCTGCCCTTTGCTCTCAGTGACCTGCCAGAAGCAGCTGCCTGTCTTCCCACTCGTACATCTCTGCCCCTCCCCCAGGACTCAGGTTCAAGGTCCTTCTCTCTATGGGCCCCACTCCCCCAAGCTGGGTAGGAGCCGCCTTCCAGGGTATCCACCAGGGCAACACCATGGGGGCGGGGGGACAGAGCACAGCCTAGGAAGGGCTCACCCACCACCCTGCACCGCCCTGCCCTAAACTTCTGTGTCCTTTGGTACTTTTGAAATTTTAGTTGATTATCAACAGCCCAGCATGTGTAGGCTACATTTTCCCCCAATATTTCTGAATGTTCAGGCTTTGTGAAATTTATGAACTTGTGAACATTTTCAAACATATAAAACAGCTGAGAGAATTTTCAAGCAACCCCCATAACGCCAGTGCGCAGACTCCTCAGCTGCTGGCTGTGTGAGCGCCCTGCCTGGAGGGGCAGCTCTGCGAGTGCCACTGCCCGCGTCGCCAGGCCTGGGTGCGGGAGTTTCCCATTCTGTGCACAGTCTCATGAAAATATCCATATGGGGTTAGGCGCTCGATAAATGTCCCAGTCAGAGACAGAACAATGATAAAATCTGTGCCTGTGGTGCAGAGCCCTGTTTTTTGGATTTGAAACATTTTTTCCTGGATCACAGAAAACAGGTTTAAGTAAACTGAGAGGTGTCAAATAGCAACATAGGGTCCTGCACATGTGGGCCCTGCCCACCAGCCATCACTCTCCAGTCCAGACACCGCAAACCCGCCTCAGTCCATTAAACAGACCGCGTGCTTTCATGGCTCCAAACTCTGCATATGCTGTTGCCTACACATGCAGCAGTATCCCCTGAGCACTTGGTTTCTGGGGTCCTGTCTGACATGGCTCTCTGTGCACCTAACGGTTAGACATCCAGTCACTGGGACAGATAGATGACGAGCTTTCTTTCTTTCTTTCTCTCTCTCTTTTTTTTTTAATGGAGGTACTGGGGATTGAACCCAGGACCTCATGCATGCTCAGCATGCGCTCTGCTACTGAGCTATACCCTCCCGCCACCAAGAGCTTTCTTATTTGCTTCTTTTTGCAAACCTAGGGATGTTTTGTTTTTTCCCAGTCGACATCTGTTGCTTTGGTAAGAAAAATAAATAGTTGTAATTGGAGGAAGAAGGATGCCGGGAAGGTGAAACTATTCCCCCAAATGATGGCATCTGGACAAGGAACCCTCAGCCCGACGGCGGCCATCCCAGCAGCAAGCGGAGACTCCCTGTTGGTCTCCAGCACAGGAGGGTCCAGTCTCAGGTGGCACTTTTGGAAGATGGGCCCCCGGCCACCTATGTGACCAGTGCCAACCAGCTCCCAGCTTGCCCTGTGGGGAGGCCCCGGGGCTTGCCTGAAGCCAGGCCCCCTGGACAGAGGTGAGGTGGCCCCCAATCCCCAGGGTTCACCCAAAGGAGGCAGACCTTGGCCTCCTGGTTAAAGACCCTTGTCTGCACCGGGAGACGAGGGGAGAGAGCCAGCACTCCAGCTTTGCTTCCTCGAGTCACAGACCCTCAGAGAAACAGCCACTTCTTGGTTTTCCCTGAGACACCTGCTGGCTGCAGTCCACCGGGTGACCCATGCTCTCCTTTCTGTCCCCATGGGCCCCGGGCTGTTCCCCACCTGCAGATCTCACCCAGGGTCCTGGGGTTCAGTCTCTCCAAACCCCACCTCAAGTGGGGACTCCCTGCCCATGCAGCGCCCTGGAGTCCCATCAGGGGCTCCTGACACCCCACACGGCCGCTATGGCCCATCAGTTAGTCCTGCCCCCTGAGCTGCTGCCCTGGAAACCTTGATGCCCCCTTGCACCCTTTCTCCGGCCGGTGCCCACACCTCGGGCTCTTCCATCGCCCATCCCTGCCCTACCTGTCCCTCCACTTCCAAGCTTGTAAATGGAGATGTCACCTACCCTGCCAGGACTGTCTCCAAGAGTAAGCAAGGTGCTATCTGCAGAGCACTCGAGACGTTACTGGTACACATACAGTAAGTGACACAGAAGTGCTTGCTAAATAGGTTTAAATACAAAACCAAGTCTCCAACTTCCGACCTCTTCGGACCAGGCCATTGCTCTGGACTGGATCATTGCAGCCCCCCAAATAGCCTACTCTCGCCCTGTATCCCCACAGCAGCCCAAGGACCAGCCCAGCTCCCAGGGCATAAATCCAAACCCCCACATGACCTCCCTGGCTGGGCACAGCCCGGAACCTGCCTCCTGCTGCTCCTCAGACACGCCTGCCACAGGGCCTTTCCACCTGCTCCTCCCCCTGCCTGGCCTCTCCCCTCAATTCCTTCAGGCCTCATCCCAACCCCAGCGTCAGCTTCCCGGGGACACGCTCCCTGGCAACATCCCACCCTGAAACTCCCTCCTGGCAGTGTGGTTCCCAAGCTGCCGGGATGCATTTTCCAACTGTCTCCATCACCTTCTCCACTGTGAAAGGAGCCTGGCTGGGACGGGGCCTCGCACATCGCCTCCTACCAGGGACAGAGGTGGTTGGCGGCTCCCTCACGCTGCTCTTGAAGGCTGTGGTCTGCGTCCCTGACAGTGGACAGGCTTTGTGGGGACACGGGAAGTCCAGCTCTAAGAGCTCGTGCTGACAGCCCACTGGCACGACAGAGAAGGGGGATTGGGGACAGCACTGCCCACTTCCCCAAGGCCCAGGGACCGCTGCCTGTAGAATCCCAACGTGGGCAGGTTCTAGGGCCCCCTGGCCAGGTCCGGTGTCTCCTGCGCTCAAGATGGAAACACTGTCATCTTCCCAACCCCTCCACAGTTATCACAGGCTCCTGGTGGCCACGAACCACTGCACCATGCACCTCTGCTGCGGCCTGTGGCCAAGGCAGCATCAGTGTGGACATGTGATAAGAGACGTCATGGAAGGACGCACTTTGCAAAATGGCCCCCATGTTAAGTCCAGTTAACATCCTAAACCACAGGAACCAAAAAAACCTGCCCTGAGCAAACTCTGTAACGTCCCCAGGTGCCCCTTGAGGCAGGGGTGGCCTCTTGGAACCAGCAGCAGTAACATTCGATGGCACTGAGACCTTTAAGAACATGCCTGGCAACCCCGGGTTTGGGAAGGAGCCAGCCACCCGCTTCCTTTACATTTAAATTCAGAAAAGGTCCTTGCAGAAGGCCCATGGGAAACATTTCCCGAAGTACGCAGCTTCGGGACACCCCTCAGGCGTGAAGATGGGGCAGTCTCTGGCTCACTCTCCCTAGCCTTTCCTCTGCACCCTTCCCCTTTCCTTGGGACCGAGGGGGCTCTTTTCCTACCCCACCCCTTTTCTTGGCTCAAACCTCCCCCCCCCCCCGCCCTTCACCCAGCACAGGACTGACAACCACCGGGGTCAGATAGTTTTTGGAAAGAGTAATGTTTTAAACAAAACACGTTAGGAAACAGTGGTACCTACCACTCAAACCCCCCGTCCTTGACCTCCACCCACAGAATGACTCCCTGACCAGGCCTGACTTACTCAGCCGTGTGGGACACTGTCTCCTTCCCTCCATCCCACCTGCTAGGTGAGTTTGATGAAACCCACACACCTTAGGGAATTGTTGGATTGGTTCCAAGCAGCTTTTTAGGGCCTCATCCTGATAGGAACAAACTGCCAAGGTCACCCAGCATTTGAGGAAAGCATTTAAACTTAAAGATTAGGATAAAAACAAACCAAAAGTGGATCCAAAAGGCACCTAGATATAATGCAAGAAACAGAAGAAACTGCCCCAAAATTGCAATTTCCTTAGCAATCACAGCCATGAAAAGAGAATAAAAATGCAACAATGAAGGAAGAAAGAAAATTAAAAATAACTACTGAGATGCTTTAAAAATTGGTAAGCATTTGCTCACAATACGCCCAGCCCAACATACAGACAAACAGCCTCAAAGTGGAGAGACCACACCAGAAGCTTCCAGGGAGGAAGGTCACGTACTAAGGGGGCTGGAGGTCTTGTTTTGTGAGAAGGTAGGAGCCAGTGGAGCAACCCCTTTAATATTCAGCAGGAAAGTGAAATCCAACTGACAATTCTATACCCAGCCCAACTATCAACTACGTGACACCTAAAAGCATTTTCAACATTTTACATCTCAAAAAAGCTACCTTCTGTGTGTTCTTTTCTCAGCATGGTACCGCAGGAAATATGCCACTGAAGCATGTCAGCGAAGAAAAGAGGCAGCAAGGCAGGACTCCAGCCCAACCTGTGCAGAACAGCAGGCTCAGGAATAGATATGCCAGAGAAAAAAATGACAGGACAGATAAGCTCTGTGAAAAACTGTGCTGGGAGGCATTTCAGTCAGAGAGCAAGGAAAGACAGACTCGAATCAAACTGAGCACCTGAAAAAAAGGATCATTATTAAACCTGGAGGAACCTCAGGAGTGGTGAACAAATTGAGATAACTAAGCTGTGCTGGCCGACCACACTGCACCACTTCTTGTAAACGAAATTGGATGGAACACGGCCACACCCGTCTGCTCACACTGCTGCTTAGGCTCTGGGACCACAGAGGTGAGTCACCAGATAGTACGGCCCACCAAGCCTAACATTTACAATCT